CAATCATGTTTAGTAATAGTCTTCCAATGATTTGATTTCACATTTTTATGAGAAAAAACGTGGTTATTAAATACCATGTAAATGAAAATTTATATACTTAATATTTCAGAAGATATATTTAAAAATACGTCATTAGTTCCATTTAATGCTGCGGTATTGAATTTAGAATAGGGTTACAAAATATCATTGTTAGAAATTACCGGGACTCGAAGCAAGTCTTTAGGCAATGCAGATATCAATCGATACGAGCTTACGGTAAACGATAAGAAAAAGTATCGTCAGCCCATCAGTCCTTAATAAGTTGGAAAATAGCACAAAGTAACAGATGTTTCAACATTAAGTGATGTGAGTTTTTGTCACCTTGCGGGTCGTGTAACTGCGCTTGTCCAAGCTACCCGCGCAACTAATGACGACAGATACCGAACTGGTTCAGATGACATCGTCTAGCTGAGAGGGGGGAAAATTGAGACTAATTAGATAAATAGCCTCGCAAGCGGTGTGCGTTCGTTTCAATCGTTCTGTTAATTGGTGTCTCTCTTTGTCTTAATTCGTTTGTATTTCATATAAAGTGTATTTTAGATGACTTTCTAATCATTTATTACAAACATTCATTTATTACACAAACATTTATTGAATTAAATTATTTTAAAAATACATTCGACTTATATATATGTATACCCCTGGCTACCGTAATCTATCACCAGTTCCAACTTTGGGAGTCTTGACTGAGAAGAATTAGTGAAACAAACTCTAACTGGAAAAAGTGCTCCTTTTGATTTAATATTTACAGTAAACGTCAATAAAACTAAATACAAACGCGATAAAACCGTTTAAAAGTAGTATTTTTTTTTTATATTTGATTAAATTTGACGTTGAATAGAAGAATACATTAATCGAAGTACCTATAGATGGACAGCCTTTTAAGTAAATATATAATTGTTTAATGAATATTCTAATTCCAACATACGCTAACTCCCAAGATTCACCAGTGAGATACGTACCACGACCGCATGCGCGTAGTGCGCACACGCAGCCCGTCAGCACGCATCAGATAACCGCGACATGCGCGCTTCCACGAACCACGCGACGCGACGCATCCAATGTTTGTATGTGTCTTGTGTGACGCGCACTTTACTTATAATGATGTTAGTTAGTATTCAGGATTTTTTTACTGTTACTTTATAGTGAAGTGAATGAAAATCGACGTTAGCATTTCAAGTTTTGTTTCAATACGTTTTATTTAGATAGTTTGAGGATTTGTTGCATTAACTTACTTTAACAATAACAAATAATAATGAGTTATCATTTGGCAACCATTGTCATTGGATGACGTAAACTATAACTTAAGTTTCCCTGGTTACAACAATTGTTTTATTATACAGAGAAAGAGGGCTGTGCAACGCATTCTATGGTCAATGTTAATGTCAGCGTCACATATATTGTCAAACTAGTGGCCGCCAGCGACTTCGTCCGCGTTTTCCATTATTTCTTCGCTCCTAATAGTTGCAGCGTGTTGTTATATAACCTAAATCCTTCCTCGATAAATGGTCTATTCGACATAAAAAGATTTCTTCTATTCAAACTAGTAGTTCCTGATATTAGCGCGTACAAACAAACTCTTCAGATTTATAATATTAGTATAGATTTGACCTAAACCTTTAATTGCATTTGTGTGCAACCGAGACTTAGTCGTATTAAGTAAACATATCTGAAATAAAAAACGGATGAAAATAGATACTGTATAGATGATTAGTATTTTAAACTCTACAGTATCAAAGGCAAAAAGATTCAATACCAACAGTAATTTAAGAGGTAACTTTCATATGTATAGCTTGTTAAAACGTATTATTCATATTATCTTATAGGACCAACAAGTCCCCTATGGGTACTGATATCGTTTTCCTTATTAAAAGTTCACAAATAATGCACGATATTTAATAGCTATTGTCAGTTTCATGTTACAATAGCTATAGCCATAAATGTAGATACGTATGTACATAGATACGTGTAACGGTTGTACCTTCAACATAACATAAGTTACCTTGCGGCGTGGATATAATTTATGAGTTAACATTGATAAAATATATAACGTTGCTACAACATTTTGAAGGCCCTCCTTTGTCTTCAAAAGTTTTAAATAACATAATTTTAATAAAAAAAGATTCCTTTATGTTTTCCTAACAATTCCTTACTTCACCATTATTTTCGAATTAAACAATCTTATATGCAATTCATAGGCTCTACCCAGATTAAAATCAAATAGTAATAAATTGCTAGCGGAAAGTAATACTATAAATCTCTATTGCAAAAACAATTGTAACATTAAGGTGTAACGACGAACAACGAGCTTCTGCATCTGAAGGAAAAGGTTTTTCTTTAAACGCCTTAATTAGATCTACGATACGTTCGATAGTAATTTATTGTAGCTACTTTAATGAAGATTTAGCTGGTTGTGAACTGTTATAAATCGTGGAACAATGGCCCTATGGCGACGGCTTATAATTTTGAAAGATAATCTGCGGTGGCGCAGGTAGCCACAACGTCATCTTTTACAACGTTGTCGTTTTTTTTCTAGCATGTCGCGGATAACTACATATTTAGCGACAAGAATTTCTTGTCTTTCTTGTTGTAGGTGCATGTAATCTAATCTAGTGACGAGATTGCTTAGTATAATCTTTCCAATGTATTTATATAAGCAGCAAAAATAAACCATTTCTTGAATCAGTGTATAACTAGACTATAGGTTATTATCAGTTTGTCATAAAAATATACTATTTGGCATTCTTCACGAAAATAGTTTGAGACAACACGTAGTAAAACACTAACATACCTAAAACTTTTTTAAGTGAAATCCATAATACAGGAATTTCACCCACATCATTGCAATATCATCTATATAATGTAAAGTGCAACTACCCTTTCCTGTATCTGAGGTCAATGCGTGGGCTTAAACACCGAACTGGCTTCGTGAGTCCGCCCACACTCTACGGAACACACGGGTTTGCTTCAAGTTGAATGTCAGATGGATAGTGTTGCATGAGGAATGCATACTGAATTTGCTAGTAACCATTGTGTAGACTTATATTAAATCTGGTAAGGCTATTAAAAAAGACACCAACCTTTTCACAGCTAGTATTTATAGCAAAATATATAAAACACACAATATAACGATGTCAGTATCATTAAAACCCATTTATGAATTGATTCATCATTCACAAAATTAATTAACATGTGTATCTCGTACGTGTTGTTTATAGAAAGATAAACTTGAGTATCTTATTACAAAAGAAGTAACGTCTTTATAAACTTTCATGAATAATCATCACTGATTGCATTATTTTCCCACAAACACCTAGAGTGCTATCGTAGTACGATAAATGAGATTGACTTCATTAAGTTTGGCTATTACCATAGACGTGGGTGGCTCATTTTGATTTGGGATAGAAGCAATGATTAGTAGTCTATGGATGTTAGAAGTATTTATCTTGCTGTTGAAATGCCTCCGACGGTAGACTAGAGGTGGTACGTTTACACACCTTGTGTGAGTCATGTGCAGTAATGAGATAAACTTGTTTAATAACGATTTAATGAAATCCAATTTCCTTTGATATAATGTAGCTTATACAGTTGAAATTGTAATATCAGTGATAAATATTAAAGGTTTTTATACATATTTTCTAGGTTGCTTTTAAATTATGTTCCAGAATCACATTTATTTTGGCAATCAATCTCTTTTCTACGTAACTTGAATTTGGTCTCTCATTTTAGTATTTCTAAGATTCTGTTATAGTCAGTTATTTGAGAGTTATAAAAAGAAGTTATATTCATTTGTATCCTTATTTTTAAGCAAATTATGTTTATAAACAATTTATAAAAGCGATAGAGGCAAACTGTAGCTAACTAAACAAAGGCTACAACTACAAGACGCGGCAAACGCGTCACGTGTTCGTGTCGGCGACGTATCTGCGTTATTTATTGGCGACGTCCTGCGCACTCGCACGACCGTGCACCATGCGCGATACGATTATTGTTATGGTAGCTTTTGTTTGTCTGAACTGGAGATAAATATAGTTAATTTTTATTAGATTTGTTGTTAAAGAACTGTAACAGGATTCACGGTAAATTGTTTGGAAAGTAAAGTAAGAAATCTAACTATTTAAGTGAATTTATCTGGTATAACAGACCTTATGATTTAGGTTTTATAGTTCTAAAATGTTCGTTTATATTAATATTAGATTTTTGTTGGTACTGAGTTGATTGCTTTTTGAGATATCATTGAATCATTTAACAAACACAGAATTGAGTGGATTTGAAATAAATTATTCCAAGTTATATTACTGTTCAGGCATGATACTTCTAACTACCTACTATTCAATTCTTTGGTCATATATTGAAGACGGCTAGCTATATTTATATAATACACACTTCAGAAAAATTATTGTATTGTGTTCATGGCATTTAAACGTCTAGTCATCGGATATTCATTGGACCTCCTACTGGGATAGGAATATTTAGTAAGGGTTAAATATAAAAAAAAATTGTAATCAAACAAACCTTTTATAAAATAGCCGTGCTATTGGTTTTTATTATAAGTATTGATGTCATAGTGGATATGATGGCTTTCTAGTATATCATAAAATACAAATATGTAAATTGATTTCAATTTTGTTTATATTTACGAAAAAATAATAGGTTGACAAGATTTGATATTGATCACTAGGATGGTGTCTTCTTATCTATAGATGCTGCTGGTGTCTTCTTATCTATAGATTCTGACATGTTTATATAACTTAATGATTTATTGGCTTTTGTTACAAGCTTATTATTAAAATTATTTTGATGCCTGTTCTTTCTAACAATAGCCATCCCATTTATTTGTCAGTATTATTAACGGCCAAGACGTTTAATACCAAGGAGGAAATAAGAATATTTTCCAACCCTTAAGCAAAATTAATGTTTGTTATTCTTTTGCATTAACTGGTGATTTTCTTTTGTTACAGCTGCACGTCTCGCTTCGCCGGGGAATTCTGCCAGCATCTCAACCCCTGTCATAGTGAATCGAGTCCGCGATGTCAGAACGGAGGTTCTTGCAGGGTCCGCCCTGGCATCAGCGGAGCGCCACCGTCCTTTGCCTGCGACTGTCCTCTGGGCTTCAGTGCATCATTATGCGAGATCAGAGTGCCTGCCGCTTGTGACTCAGCACCATGTCTGAACGGAGCCACATGTAGACTAACCTCATTGTCTACGTACGAGTGTGATTGTCCACCTGGTTATACAGGTAAATTTATTTCTTTAACATCAATCATAAAGCTTAATTCTTGAGCGACTTCTTCCGCTCTATTAGTAGCGTATGCCGATAAAATAATAAGTCATAATTTAACTCGATGTGATCTTTATTATCGTTCATATATATTCATAGTGGCAGAAATAATTAATTATTGTTAGACGTCGTTCTTATGCCAAACGTTATTAAATTTTCCTAAATTAAAGAAAGTATTTCAAATAATGATTTAAAAAAATATCTTGCATTGATAGTTGTATCTACATATTATATTACTGTATTAAAACAATGACTTATGTCAATGCATTCCTCGATTGCTTTGTGGATTAGTAATCGATTTCTCGGTACCTGTATGTATATTATCCTCAATTTCATTACAATAGCTTATACGGTTATCTGTCCGACTAATTGATGCATATACGTTACAGAAACAGGCATTTGAGTAATCGCGAGTTATGTTTAATAAAATCTAGTTGTATCTATTCATATGACGTAATCATTATAGGTAGCATTTTTGTCATTGAATATACAACAAGGAGGTCAACAGATAGCGAAACTTAGTAAAAAAATAAATAACATTAGACCCAGGAAGTAACATAAACTAGTTTCCAAATAAAGTGACCAACCTAAGCGTGTCGGTGATAAGTACCCAAAGAAACAGAAGTAATAAATTTGGAAAGCCAGCCTAACACTTCCTCTCATTTCCGTTACATTGCCTTACGACAATTTGCTTCTTAAATCACGAGAATAAAGTTCAAATTGTTGTTATTTTAATTCAATACAATTACATGAAACTTCGTCGACTGGTTTTGTCTAGTTGTACAATTAAAAACAGCTTTCAATTTTTCTGGTCGTGCGTATGAGAATTCTCTAATCGTTTTATACCATGTGTGTGACAGTGTTCAACGAACAGTGATCATTCGAAAACAATTATTGAAGAATCTATGTCAAATCTATGAGTATAATAGTTACACATATTTATAGAACGTTAATGAAATTTCCTGACAGAGAAATAATAGCAACTTCAAATTGAAAGAGCAGTACTACGCTCTATTGTGACCTAGGGTCTCTGTTGCGTTATATTAATTTCATAGGATGTTCTGGGACCAAAAATTAAGTAGATTCTACAACTGCCGGAAAAAGTTAATAGCAAAAATATGGTTTCGACTCGATTTTACTTTTTATTATTGTGATATTTAGTAATAGGACTACACTATGTACAGCATAAAATTAATAGAGTAGCAAATGTCTGTATGTGGTTAAAATGTGACAATGAATTATAGGAACGCTATGTTATAGGATATCTTTCTTTATCCTCCTTTCTTCTACCTCATTTAACTAAAATAAGTCTCGATTACTTCCAAAAATGAAACCTAAACATTTATAATTAAATCCTGGAATTTATACAAAATTTTCATCACTTTACTTAAAGAAATGATCATTATAATTATTAATTAATTGATTTATAGACGCTATAAAATTAAACAAGTTAGAACACTTGCTAATTATTTTTTATGGTTTCGCGTCTTAAACAAAACCAATCTCAAACGAAAGGTTTAAAGATCAAATCAGTATAATCGTCCTAATAAAAACATTATTGCTTTGAATATGCGCTCCGTGTAATCAACGGAAGCTAAGAAGCATAAAGTTGTGAAAATTATTGCCTTTACATTGCACAGTAGGAGTTTTGTGGCCATTCGAAGCTTAAACAAGACAAGACAAGACGAAACAAGATGTTTGGACTTGATTTTATTGGAAAACATACAGCAATCGGAGCATTTTCACATGCATAATTATCGTTGGTCGTTAGTGCGAATGCGGGCAATGAAACGGCAATATCGTTTAATGATAATTATTATTTGTAAGAGGCTATGCAGTTCCATATGGAACTGTAGTATTGCGACCTAAAATACCTACTGTGATTCGCCGCCAGAACTCAAGCAGCTCTTCCAGCCTAGAAGCTTACAAAAAGTCTAAGATTTCTTGATTTTTAAAGCTTTCACAACTTCTGGGCTGAATGTGCTGTAGCAGATCTATGCCTCTTGTGAATCATTGATCCAAATTCACACATTAGATGTTTCAGCGTTTCACACTCGTACTAGGTAATACATAAAAATAATTATCAAAAAGCAAATCTATTCATAAAAAAAGGTAATGATTTTGTCTATTAACATTTAGTCGGAGATTTAAAAATCAGCGCAGATTCTTACAATCACTAACACGGAAGTTGCTCATCAAGTCGTTTTCACACGTCCCATTTCACGTAACTAGTAAAAAGTATCTTCTCACTTTATAGCCAGTGGTCTCAAGCAGATTTCAAGGATTGTTACCCATTATTACCGTCACAATATCTACGCAATCTCTTCAAGGCAAGACTTTAGTGAAAGCCGGTAGAAAGCCCATGTAATTCACTTCCTAAACTACGTGGTGCTTAGTTAAAATGTTAATACGTTTAATTCGATAGCAGAACTGTGTAACTCTGTAAATTGGCATGTCTGTGTACGTGGTAATGGGGTTTTTGGAAAACAATTAGCGTTTATGTTAGCTTCTGATTATGCGCTAGTAACTTCTTGAAGCAGGTCTTCGATTGCGAAAGCTAAGCAACTTTCAAAGTAAAAGTAATTTTTATTCAAATTTATGCATAGGATTTATTTTGTAATTACACAAACTACAAATAATGAAAAAAATCGTGGCTCTAAAAGACGTCGACGCTGATCTTTCTATTGATGATTTTCTGAAAAACTTTCATCGATTAGTTGATCAAAATCTTGAGCTCTGTCGTTTAGATGAACCATAATACCATTGGTGGGTTTTGTAATTGTTAATTAGCCTTAGGCTTGCGTCTTATATTTGAGCTATTAAAATGCTGACATTGTTTTTCGAACTTCATATTCTTTCCTAATGTTTTCGGCACGATGTTAGAATAAAGATTGAAATGGTGACTATAATTTCAATTGAGCTTATTCCGGCCAATCATGGTGAATTCTTCGAGACGATTACTCACCGCTCCGATTAAATTGGTGATGAATTTTGTTTCATGATGACGCATTTTTATCCGAACTTTTAGTTCAAGGATACGTTTCAGTTTATATCTTTTTGATAAATTGGTACATTGTTTTAAATAAGGAAGTTATAGTTAATAACTTTTCCCTGTTCTCATAAATTGTAATGTCATATTATTGCCTTTCTATTATTCAAACTTATGAGATTAACTTGTTCGTGTAGTTTCTACTTTAATTTGAATTAACGATGTCGTTTCTTTATGAACAATTAAAAAGTCCACTGAGAACCACTTATTACGTTGTATTAATGCAAATTAAAGTTTAAACATCTCGGATTTTTACACCTGTTATGTAAATTGAGATCTGAATTGAGAGTGTAATACATGATCGTAGTAGGGTCAATATTATAGTTTTTCGCTATTTTGTTAAATAAAATATTACAAAATGTTTATGATTTATTAACTTTTTTGCCAACGTATTGAACATTTGTCTTTGGCGACTTTTATTGCCTAGCTTAATTGATTTGTTAAGGAATGTGCATAAAATTGCATAGCGCCAGATAGTGTTAGTTCATTCTATAATTTGTTCTATATACTACAATGATTATCATAATTTAGTTTATCTAGTCCTTGATTTATTTAGGACACAATATATTATTTTCCACCATTATTTGGGATTTTCTTAGTTGTATAATTTTTCTTACAGTTCTATCAGTTTTTTTCTCATCGATTGCCATAACTTTTTTTTCATATTGCAAATCGTCTGTATATGTTCATAAGTTATACATCTCCATTTTCTTACCTCTAGAATATATTGTATAAAATATTGTTATAATATATTTCAAATGTCCAATTTTTCTTCCTAGGTGCTGAATGCTCGCATGAAGACCATTGCGCCTCCCAACCATGTCGCAATGGAGGACGATGCGTAGCAGACAACACAACAGCGGCTGGGTACTCCTGTGTCTGTCCGCCTGGTTTCACAGGCTCTAGATGTACAGAAGACGTAGTAGAGTGCTCGAGTGGGTCAGGACCTTGTCATCACGGGAGATGCTTCAATACTCACGGCTCGTACACTTGTGTGTGTGAGCCTGGTTATACTGGACGGGACTGTGATGCTGAGTATGTCCCATGCGAACCATCGCCGTGTCTTCATGGTGGAAGATGTACGCCACTGGATCAGCTCAGATACGAATGCGATTGTCCTACAGGTAAGGTTTATGAGATTAATATTTTATTGAATATGGTTTTTATTTAAAGAGTTTTTTGTCTACTTAATTTACAATATAAGGTAGAATTAATGTAAAACAGAAATGCTCTAATCTTAAAAATATGCTTCTATGATTTTATTATTCATAACTTAAAAAGATATAACTGATGTTTTTATTGATTCATATCTCTCGATAATTACGTCTTAATATGGACAGGTTTCCTTATAAATTGACTATTTTCTAAGCTGTTTGCTTGACTTTTTTGCTTACTGCAATCCACTTGCAATTACAGATCTCTTTATTGGGTAAACTCATGTGTTTCCTTATATGTGCTCATGCGCATTCAATCTTCAAGGAATATTCGAAATAGATGCGAATATTTTGAATAAATGTGCTCTGCAGGGTTAAGCCAAGTAATATGACTTTTATTTAGACATATGATTAGGTGAATATTATTGTTTTTATCATTAGAAGACGATTTCGTGTATTCTAGTCAGGAATTTTACTTGACTTCTACATGTATATGGTTTGTGTAAGTAGTTTTATTGACATACTTAGTTTTCATTTTATTTTAATAAATAGTCATTTTATAAGCTCTATACATCAAAACAAAAACAACAAAAACATTTAATACAAGTAACATTCATTTATCGCTGTAAATGTATAATATCTTAAACTGTCATTGGATTATTGGCAAACCAAACTGAAAGCCGTGCTGTGCCAGATGCTGACCTTTAAATTCGATCCGATGTTATCTCAAAAGCTTTACTTAATAATTCAGTTTAAGCAGTACCAGTTTTACCTTAAAGGATGTATTTCCTACGTTGACAACTCGTACCGTTAGGAGGTGTTGAGGCATTTTTATGGGCTATAAAAATGAAGGGCTTTATATTTTTACCGAGAGTGAAGTTTGTGTCTTATGTATAAGAGGTAGTTTATGGCTGTGTGTGATGTGAACTCAAATAAGATATAACTGTTATGTTTAGATATCTAGTAATTTCCATATTCAGTTAGTAGCTATAGGCATCAACACCGACTTACTTAGTTATTGATTTCTATATTATACACCGTATTTAGTTATTGATTCTTTTGACCTTCGCTATCAGTCAGTTTCTTTGTTATTAGTAAAACGAAGTCTAGAAAAGGTTTGTCCACATCCAAATGACACTTTTATTAGTCGTTGATACAATATCCCACTCGATCGTCATAAGAAAAATGAAGACGTTTCTCGAGTTCGTCATCCTAAATATGATTGGCTGTTTAGTCTATTTTAACTATCGATCTAATATTAATCACGAGAAAGAAGTCGAAAATAGTTTCTACGTGTGAGCTCCAAAAAAAGCACCTAATATTTTTTTGGAAATATTACATAAATGCCAAGAAGTCGTTGTTTTCAATATCTGAATCGAACTCAGGACCTCAAGAGATACGCGCTATTTAAACCGGTCTCAGAGGTCTTCCAATCATCATTTAGTTGTGACATTAATCACAGATCAAGGATAAATCTTTTGGACTTGTATTTTGGATGAAGATAGTTTTGTTAGTAAACCTACTAAAATAAGTTTGAGTTATAGATAGTACCCAGTATATTGTCTGTAAATAAAATTTATATTGGTTGGTTTTTTAGAACTCAATCTTTTAAATACACTGGACGTTATAAAGCCGCACCACCTTACCTTAATATTGGAATATATAGATGAATGTATTAGATTAGATGGTTGGAGTTGAAGTATTTTTATGACTGATTCAGAGTTCAGTTTGAAGACTGCTAAGGAAGAATCTATACCCAATGTAAATAAAATAAATTATGTATAAGTTTGCCTCTCATCTCGAATGGCAATAACGAACTGAGCGTACGCAATAAAGTATCACTAGCTAGCATGCTTCAAAATTGCAACCAGTGAATTATGTTCAAACCAATTATCATCTCCGCAGCGTGTAGACTCGTAACGAACCGATATGAATGCGTCTGGAACGTCTGTAGGTTATTTTATCTATGAGTCTGAAAGTCGACCGTGGCTATTGCCCGGGGCGACCACGATTTGAGTTCGAAAGCCACACTTAGCCTAACTACGGTACGGTATAAATAATGTTTACATTGATATTTATAGGTTTATGTTTTTATTTGAATTGTTTTGTGTAATGATTTAGCTTGTACGGATATGATAATGTTACCTATCCATAGTTTCGTCAGTGAACAATTAATTACGCTACCAATTTTGGGGACTTCCAGTGACTTTTGAACCACTTTTCATAAGTGTCAATATCACGGAATGTTTGTACATCCGGTCGGTAACTGCAAAGGTCAAACCATTTTCAGTTTTACAAAGATTTTGTATTTTGACCCAAAGGTGCGTGAAGTTGTTGATCTTACTGCATCTGTGGTCGTAAAATCCATTGCGTTCGTGTAGTGATTTTTTATTTTTGGTCCGTTCTTTCGAAGTTAATGTTTTCATAAATGGTGCCTCAGAAATGGGGCATCAACAGGTTGATGATGATGATGACAATTCCATACGATATTGTTATTACTATAAGCCGAAACACTGCTAAATAAATTTCTAAACTACCGTGATATGATACCAAAAATAAATGAGGATTCAAACCTCGTAAAATCTGAGCAATCATTGGCAGTGGATCTTTCTTAAACAATTAATATTTCGAAATTTTCATTCGATTGTGTCAGCTTTTTTTGCGAAATGTTTTCTGGAAGATTCAGAGAAATTATATGTCGACTATTACCTAGACAACGTTTAAGCTTAATGACACCCGACATCAAATTCATTTGCAAAGCAATTCTCGACGACCGCGAGGATGCTGACGAAAGGCGTTACGTCACATTTTTATGTGGTGCGCAGGCGCCTCGCGGGTTCATTAGATTCATTACGCGTTGCAAAAGTGCGCATTGCAAAAGGTTGTGATGATGAATCTGCCATTCGGGTGCTGGGAAAGCTTTCTGTTTTGTATATTATCTATTAAGGCAATAATAATAGCATTTTATTCATATAATTACTTAAATCCAGTAAGAGTATACTAGCTTATTAAAACTTAGAACATAATCTTTATTAATACTTAATTCTTACTTGCTTATTCTTCGGAGATATGTCTGTAAATCGGCAAATGCCTCCTCCAATCTTTTCCATTTGATCTGACCCAATCCAGAGCCAATCTGAATATCACACCTGCCATTTGTCAGATGTGATTATCCTACCTTTTCAGCTGCCTCGTATATCGTTATGATGTTGTCAATCTATAAGCTGATTATTAAATGCAACACATGTTTAAATATAATTAAATTACTTTTGGAATGTGATTGGACAAAAATACCAGGCGCATTCCCAATAATTTTAGTACTATGGCATCTTGATAATTCAGTAGAGAAAAAAAAAAAATTAATTATAAAAATTTACTGCTTAATTTACGTAATTCTGGCATCATCATTTGGTTTCATTTCGACTTTTCTTTCTTGTAAAGTCATTATTCATTATTTTTGTCAAAATTATACTATACTTACTTGTAATGTAAATTAGTTTCTATAGTACAACAATGACATTCTGATTTCCTTGGTACAGTATGGTTTGTGGTTATACTGTCATCAAACGAAACATGGTTTGATGGTAATATACCAATCTTCTCTATTACACAAACAGTAATAGACATTTTGCAAGTTTTTTATTGTTGTTACAAATATATACTTATAAAAAAACTTATATATTGTCTAATTCATTCGGCGTCAATACTTAAAATTTTGTGAATAGGGGACTACGTTAGAAACATTGTGATAATAATGTCCCAAAAAAATATTTTTGAATTCATCAATAAAAAAAATCTAATTTACAACATAAGTCTCAAGTCTACCAAGACAACAGTTTTATTTTACAGTATTAGCGTTCAATATATTTCTTTTGGTTGGCAGAGTACATCACAAAAATAATCTACCAAATAAAAATAATGAAGACAAAAACAGTTAGGTTCGCTTAAATCGAATCTTTGCGGTGACTCATCATCGAGTCATAGGTGCTGTTGATATTGTTATTCGAATCAAGTAACATCCCCATATGTTTCTAAGACAAATGACCCCAAATGCTCAGCCTGAGGGGACATTCCGTCACACGATGTGTTGTACCACTCAAAATAGACGCGTCTGCTGTTGACGTCATTTTAAAACTGTGGGAATGTAATGAGGTACCACTTAATTAGCACCCCATGGTGATACATTTGTTTATCGACATTGGAACTATGTGAAGCACTTGGATTAAATTCCGTTGCGTTATAGATTAGGACGTTGAGTGCATTGAGATTTTCGACTGTTGGTTGTTACTGTTATATTAATTTGGATAGTTATCAAATATAATTAAAGTCATGTACAATTTCATTAGATAGTACAAAAACATTAAAAATGAGCTTATTGTCCTAAGCCACGTTCATAGTAGTGAATTCTTCTCCAGAATTATTTCTGCCATCATTTTTAAATACTATACTCAATCTTAATATGTAATTAATTCTACCTACGTCATGTATATCAATTCTATTAATCCCATCCAGTAGTATAATTAACAGTTAATTCATGTCAACATGTTCGGTGTTATTAAAATATCTTACAACCACATATGCGTTATGTCTCCAAATAATACTTACAGCTTCCGCATATTAAGAGTTCCGAGACTTATGGGAATGCGTGAGGCTCTCACACTAATATTATGTTAATCTACTGTCGATTTCAATTCGTAAACGTTTTCTTAGTATCAATATTAGGTAAGAGAATGATCTGACACGTGCGTACATATTTATAGTATATTTAATATATAAGCATAATAATTGCGTTTAAATTCATTGAAAAACATGAGTATAATATTTTTCCCAAGTTAATACTTTTTCGAACAAAATTCAAGCAATTGATTACCGTTAAAAATAAATAAACAGTCATTCCGTTACAAAAGAGGGACGGCAACACCAAAAAGTTTACATAAAATTTTTCAGACAAGCAAAAAATGGCGTTGATATATTTAAAACTGAAGCGCCGTTACATGTTTCGTATCATAAACATTGTTATAGTGCACATGTGGCGATCGTGGGAACAGTTCCTTATAGACATGGTAATGAAACCTCGTGCTTACTAATCGAAGATGTGTGTAGAGCTTGTGTGGCTCCAAGCGCGTGGAAATTTCGACACTCAATTAGAGCGGTCGGATTACTTGATGCCTAAGTATCAAAATAAACATTTGCGTTATACGCACCATGTGCTGATGAGAATAATTGGTTTGTTGATGATTTAAGTTACTTATCTAAGAAGTTGTGTTGCATAAAAGTAATACTGTTACAGTTAATAATGTCTACATTTTCACTTTTTGAAGTCAACATGTCTTTTAAGTGAAGTCTCTGTAATGTTAGAAGTTAATTCTGATATTGCTTCCTGTTTTTGACTATGCTTTTGTTTTCAGGATACCGAGGTCAGAATTGCGAGATTGACATCGACGACTGTCCAGGCCACTTATGTCAGAACGGAGCGACATGTGTAGACGGGCTCAACTCCTACACTTGCGAATGTCCACCAACGTTCACCGGCTCCCTTTGCGAGACTGACGTCGATGAGTGTGCTTTGAGGTAAGAATCTTGTAACAAATTAGTCATTTCAGAAGATCTTAAGGTATTGAAGATATCAATTGACATAGATTTCCTTTCAATCTTATTATTATTTGTTATACAAGAATCGAACAACTTTTACTGTGATACATTCTAGGAGTAAATTGATTGGTTCGATTGGTTTTAAAATATAGTTTTGACAAAACAGAAGATAATTTATCTTACTTTTGGAAAACTTTGCAAACATTATGTAATATTGTAATGATTGAGTAGATTGTCGCTACTTATCTTGGAAAACGTTATAAAGATATTAAACTGGGTTTAATTAATCATATAAATAGTGTTAATAGAGGATGTAGAACATAAGATCTTACGATCGATATCGATTTCTGATACATAAAACAAATATTCGAAACATTAAAGAAAAAAGGTAAAGGCGCGCCGCCAGACGTAATGAACTATAGTTGATCGAAAAATGAGCCAAAATACTGTTATGTCTCGCCAATTTGTTGCATCACATATTCTTTCGACAGCTATATTTTGATTACGGTCTGCCCCATGAAAAAGTGCAATATCAAACTTTATGTTCGATACACTAAAGTCTCCCGATGAATTACAATATACCAATTAACGTGGAATCTTTAAAATGAAACCTGGAACGGATCGCTGGATAAATCCTTCGCGGAAAAAGTGGCCACCTAAATCATTGTAGATTATGCTTTATTTCGACCGCTTAAAGATTGTATTCTAATGATTGCCGGAGATAATAACCTCCGATTTCGGAAATACGATATCGAACGCCATCTTGAATGCACACATGCGACTTGCATGTCCTGTTTGTAAAGGTTTCAAAGTAATAAAAAACTGGATACATAATTTTTTACCAATATTTTAATTTTGTACATTTTTTATATCCGAACGATTATCTAACCGATTTTTTCAGCACACATCAAAATCGCTAAACGTTTAATTACATTCCTATCTTGACGAGAGTATGTCCATGATATCTATATTGTTATGTTCTATTCACTTTTTTTCCTAAAGACACGCCATATCAGAGTTTAATTACAAATTACTAGACAAGAACGCTGGAGTCAATGGCCTCAGCGTAAGGTATAGGTGGTAGCGGATATAAATACATTAAACTCGTTTGTTTTCTGTGGAACTTTTAAAACATTTTAATAAATTTTAGTTCGTCAATGAACAATTTAACAAAATTTTGGTCACCCAACATATGACCGGCCTTTTCGAAAGTTGCTTTAGTACCACATCAGAGAACTCACCACTACGTCATCGAGTTTAAAATGGTTCAGTTTTATGTAATTCAAATCCGCTCGCAGCCTTCTGGGCACCTTACCTGTTAGCTATGTTTTAAAATATCCCCTATTTTGTGTACTCGATAGTACTAGTTTTAGACAATGTCTATGTTTTAATATCTTGTAAATATTGAATGTAAACATTATACTGTCCGCTTATGCCTTGTAACGGTATCATCGTCCTACGTAACGATGTGCAGGCGCAGCCTGTTAGCTAATGATCGGTGCAAAAAACGACTCAGCAGTCACACGATAAGGCACACTTTTTACTAACGCTAAAACTATATGTCGACGTGCAAATTACGAACGAGCTTACTTCATGGGAACCGAATCAATATTGTATAATGTAATAATTTAAATTCATATATGGAACACTGTTTAATTGAAAAGATATTTGGTAGTAGCATCAATACAAATCGATATTCAGTTTTGTTTTTGCTACTAGCTTTATTATTAAGTACAGTCATCAGCATCTCACAAATTTCACTTATTGATGAAAGATATTTTAAATTATGGCAGTAAAGTATAAAATTTATTACAAAAAACGTTATTTTGTAAAAACTTTGTGCTGTATTTATCTGGATATAAAATTTCCACGGTACAAAAAGAAGCTTAATTTTTCTATTTATTATTTCGTAAAATTTTCGAATCTATAGATTTTTTTATTGATATTTCTGTTGTTTGCAATAGTTCTAAAAAGTGCTATATGAAATATAAAAAAAAATCTTAAAAAATAAAAATAATTAATCGTTATAATTCAATACAGTCTCCATAGCCGAATAACTCCTAGACCGCATATATTGAGGTACTAGGTTTGTTTACACTATAGTTTCTTAAATAATTTTATAATTAATATATTTTCGATCGCAGTTAAATCAAGTTATGTGTTTGTCGATTACGCTAAAAAATTCTGTTGACAAATAATTAAATTCATAGGCATTTTCTAAATGCAATCTTAAATTTCTACTTGTCGTATTTTCTTGGATAGCGAATTATCAAAACCTTCTTATAAATAACAATATATTTGATCAATTTTGCATCCAAAATAATACGGAATGTAAACACAACCCTTCGAATGTTTACCTATTGATAATATTAAAATTAATATTTTGTTATCCAGTTTCTATGAAATTAATCGTTCAATTTGAGCAATTAATATTTCTACCGGCTACGATTCGGACCGCCCGCTGTAGTCGCCTTTCGAAACAACTTTATATTTGATCAGTAATTTCGGTATCCTATATCATTTATTACAACGCAATAAAGTTTATTGTAGCACAATAACCGATAGTGAGGGTGTAAGGTATAATTTGGTTCACGCGTTCCACCGCCGGGTGTTGTCTTGGCTCTTATTGTATATGTAATACCTTTAAAAGGTTCGACAGCTTTATTCGAATTTTAATTCTATGTCCGCCGTGTTAAAGTTTATTTTTGTTTACATTTTGTGTTTTATGGGATAGTGTCATCCTATCCGGACCGGTGGATCGTGAAAAGCAACTGATAAATGCGTGCCCCATATCGGGTTACGATTCTTAAGAGAGCCCTTTTTATTCGATCCGAAGTGAGTTCTTACGATAGTTCGTAAGTATTATTTTATGGATGTTATAAATTAAAGTGGCCATAGTTTTCGTATTTTTTCAAAATATTTTTTATACTAAATTACTTTAATTACTTATTAATAGCAAAATGAAGCCTTCACCATTTTTAATTTGATAGTTTAGTTCTATTATTATTTTTCAATAAAGAGGATTTCTTATAAAATTGCTTTTCTAATCGGTGACAATGTATACAGTGATAAAGCTTTAACATATTTAAAATACGTCTTTACTTATTTGAAAAAGTTCTCTCAGCTCAATTGTCTGAAGGCTGATTTTTCACAAAGACGCACTTTTGCATCCACAATTCAGAAATTATTTAAAATTTAAGAAGAATCTAACAGTCATAGATCTAGTTTCACAGTATAAGTAAATTTAGTTACTAACCAAAAAGCATTGTTGTAATTTTTTAATTAAAACTTTTTTCATTCTAATAATAATACTGAAAAACTGTTTTCTTAGCTAAGCTTTAGTTTCTAGATAAACACAGTATTTTATAATACTTTCTCCAGGGTCAGACATTATACGCTCAGTCTAGGGCGAGTGTTGTGCCGTTCCTGTTCCTTGTAGTGAAATACCAGTTTTAGAAATAATGTCTACTAAACAGCCGTCATGTTTGAATATAACTAGAGCTATAATATGCATTTGGAATGGTTATACTAAATGGAGTGAAATCATATTTTTGCGGGAGAAAACTTTTTCATTAGGGGTTTTGTTCCATCACTATCTCTGTTACAGTTTTTTTTAAATTCTATGTTCAATGAACATACATTCTTGAAGAAAATGAATCCTAGACTTATTTTGAATACCTAAAAGAGCAGAATTAAAAGAAAACCGCGAAGCATTAAGCTCATGTGTTTTATATAAAAGAACTTGTCCACTCTATGAATCATCACCACCTTAGGTAAACTATTAATTGAAATTGGATTTAAGATTTCTATTCAGTAGAATTATTTTGTAAACTAGACACTCATAAGAAAGGATTTTTGGAATTTTATTCTGTAAAAACTGTCATTTTTTAAACTTACAGTCGTAAACTTAATTTTAGGGCTACTGGTTATAAATTAATAAACACCTGTGGATTTGTGATTCACCACTAAAAGGTGAAGTATTATTGAAGTTAGAAACATGTAACGTTATTTTTGGGTTACTAATTTTAGTAAACTACTTTTCAGCATTAGAGGAAATACCGTAATATTCTAAAAGTTTTTCCAAAAGAAAAGAGAGGAAAGCTGGTTCATAAATATCTGAAGGAGCATCAACAAAAAGGAATGTTGTGTCTTTTACATTAGTTTCTTCAATTGGAAAGAGACAGGAAAACTCAGACCAATTACTTGAAGATTTATAATGTGTCGCATAAGACTAGTTCTTACACCAAACGGCGCTTATTAAAGGCCAACAATTTCTGTACTTTTTCAACTGCACCGGAGCTCTAGAAAATTGCTTGTGCGATTATGTGTTTTTATGGTGTTATTTTAAGATTGCATGAGGTTGTAACACGGCCTCTTGTAGGTAGTTGGTTTTCGATGTTAGTTAATATTTTAAATTGCTCCATTAATTTCTTTTACCAAGTCGTAGGAAAACAAAATAAATACACACCTTGAAAAAACACCTTGGATCTTTGTATTGATAACATTTTTCAGATTGTATTTAGTTTATTTTTAAAACGTTTCAATATTATAACTTAACTATCAAGAAGTAAAGCTTAAAACAAAACTAAAGCGGTCTGCTCATCTTGTTTTTTGTCAGTCGGGTCTTTAATTTATCAATCTCGATGCGACCAATCAATTCGTCAAACATTAGAAGCGAATCGCGATCGATCTTATGATTGATAGTTTATCAATAATGTTCAGTATAGTCCAAGCCATATTTGGGTACGGTTAAGATGACCAAATAATTAGGCACTTACGTAACAGAGCCAATGAAAAATATCCGTTCCGATTTAAATTTGATGTCAGCATTTTTTTTATTTCAAAGCGATTTGATGTACTGTATTTGGTACATATTCCAAGAATTTGAATGAATAAATTAATATACAGTGTGTATGATGCGGATCACATCGACCAATGTAAATGAGTTATCATGGTACTACCCAAATTCTGAGGCAGAT